ATGTTGCAGTTCTCAGCTCTTTTCATGTTGGATGAAAGATATTTGTGTATAAATGCCAGTAAAATGCCATTTCTGAAATTTGATCTCCTTTTGATAGAACTGAAGGCAGTTGAGGAGTCAGTAGGAAGTTTTGAAAAACTGAAAAATGTGATAACGCACATTTGTTGATTTTTCTTCCCTTTCCTTTCTCAGGTACAAGAACATTCCACAGATGTCCTTTGATGATACAGACAGGGAGCCAGATCAGACCTTTAGTCTGAACCGGGATCTTACAGGAGAATTAGAGTATGCCACAAAGTAAGCACTGGGCCTGTCTTCCATTCTGTGGCTTCTGAGGAGCAGCAGGCACTCCCTCATTTGCAGTGAGCATGTATGCATTAGTGCTTACCAGGCTTGCAGTTTATTTTTGGCCCGTCTCCTGCCCTCTTAGCATAGGAAATAAAACAGTGGAGGAGTGTTGATCCTTGGCTTGGTCAGTTTTTGGCAGAGATTCGGCACAAGCCACAGACTTGTTAACTTGTAAGCAGTTGGCAGATCTGAGTGAGCTTCTAGGATGGTCTTAGGAAAGATGTGTTTTCAGAATTCCTCCTTGCGTAGTGGGCTTACTGCAGGCCAAGTTACACGTGACCACCTTATCTCTTCACTAGTTCTCCCTTTTTCCTAAGGGTTGGTCAACACTGAACTTGCTTTTGAACCCCTGCCTGGTCATACAGCATTTCTCATTCCTGCTCCCTGAGGGCAGGGGCAGTGTTGATTCATTTTTCTATCCCTGTTGCCTTGGGCAGGATCTGGCAGATGCTCAGTAAATGTTCCCTGAACTAATTGCTTGTCTGAAGGAGAAGAATGAGACATAAGACCCCAAGAGTGTTCTCTGACATTTGCCTGGGTTTTACCACAAGTTGGAGCTAGAATTGTTTTGACATGACCATGAGCTACTCATTGAATTCTAACCTATGTCTCCTCTCCCCATTCCTTTCATCCTCTAGAATTTCTCGTTTTTCAAATGTCTATCATCTCTCAATTCATATTTCAAAAAACTTTGGAGCAGATACCACAAAGGTCTTTTATATTGGCCTGAGAGGAGAATGGACTGAGGTAAGATGGGGTTGGAAACATTATTGCCCCCCTCCAATATATGTATTTATGTGTATAGATGTCTGCATGCTGTGGTAGTGGAAGCTTTAAGGAAAGGAAAAAGAGCAAGTGCGACATTGATTGCTCCCCGTCTGTTTGTAATTTTTCTTGGTTTCGTCACTAAACTGTCTGATACAGGTATTTTTCAGGGGGTTGAAACAATACAATTGATGTCACTTCAGTTTTTCCACTTTAAAATTCTTTCCTTCGTTCAACATTTTTGATAACTTTTCTTGTTCCAGGCACCAGAGATAAGATGATAAACAAGATAGACAAGGTCCTATTCTCATGGTGCCTCCATTATAGTGGGGAAATGAATCTTCTAAGTTATGGGGTGACTCGTTGATAATGATCTTTGCAGACTTCTCAGGATAAAAGTGTCAGAAGGGAGAAGAGATTAGATGATGGCTTCTAGAAATGAACCTGAATAAGGACTTCTCCATTGTGTGGTCTGGGAAATGACCAGCTGACCCAGCCTCTCAATTTTCTTGCAGCTTCGCCGACATGAGGTGACGATCTGCAATTATGAAGCATCAGCCAACCCAGCAGACCACAGGGTCCATCAGGTTACCCCACAGACACACTTCATTTCCTAAGGGCTGGCCAAGGCTCCCACACTGTGTCAGTGAAGATGTGTGACATCCTGTTGGGAAGGACAGAGATGGGGCTCCAGAGAGAGTTGGCTGCTACAGCCTCTGCCAAGCTTTGTCTTGGGGGCTGGCTGCAGAAACCTGGCCTGTGGAAGACACCACACCACCGGGGAGGGGTGTGTGGGTGCTGAGGGACAATCATGATTTTCTAGGGCCCTGCAGAAATTGGGTCTTGGGCTGGTCAGCATCTGACAGTCTTGGATAATGCCTGCCTTTCCAGTCACTGTGGCCATGGAATCCCAAGTGTCTTGTTGCTTTGTGGCAGGAATTTTGTGTGAATTGTTTTTTTAAAAATGGAAACTATTTCTGGGCTGCAGTAAACTTACTGAAGCCTCAGCATTGTGTTTGTATTAGCCATCAGGAGGGTCTCCAACTAGAAATACTTGTTCCTGCTTGCTCCTTCTCCCTGTCATTGTTCAGCTTTCTTGTCAAGTTGCCCAGCTTGAAGTTGTCTGTCATGCATTAGTGTCTTCTGGTTATAGCTAGAAGAGCAGGAGTCTCCTGATGATGCTTAATAGCTTGAGGAGAAGGTCTTTTTCCTACTGCCTAGGTAAGCAGTCTGGGGAGAGCATGGGCATCATTTCTGTGTTTGTGGGTATCCTGGTCGTGGTAAGATTGGGACTTAGGTAAGATTCCCCTTGGAACATCCTTAATGTTTATTAGCTTCTAACTAGTGTTGTAAGCCCAGTGCCAGAATTTTGGAGATCTCAATTCTTCTGTTCATGGCTTTTTATTCACTGTGACTAATAAGCTTCCTAATAAATCCTTGCCAGACTTAATGTTTGTATATTCTTTTGAGTTCTTGGTAGTACAGAAACTTTTACTTTAGCGGGAACTGTATGGAACTTTGAAATTGGTGGTGGTTGTTGTTTTGGATTAGGTAGATAAGTGCTACAATTATATCAAGACTAGATCAGTTTCTCCGGAAAGGTCAAGCTTAATTCTGTTCAGTAGGCTAAAACCACTCCTACATGCATCCACCCACATTTTGTAAAGAGGAAGGTGAGACTAAAAACCTATATTCCATTTCTCATGACAGGAAGTAACTTGTAGAGGGTGACATTTACAAAAATAAGAGAGAACAGATTCTGGAGGTCCTCAGAAGAAATGAGGGTGAGGAAAGTAAGTGAGCAGCACATCCGGTCTGAAGTGGACCCAAAACTTTGGACTTAAATTTTGAAAGTCAGTACAACAATTGGAGAGAATTTAATGTAAAAAGAGGGGATTTGAGATGGTTGGTATCCTCTCCCTTGGGGCCGGCCCGGTGGTGTAGTGGTTAAGTGCACGCGCTCTGCTGTTGGTGGCCCGGGGTTCAGATCCCGGGCTCGCATCGATGCACCGCTTGTCAGACCATGCTGTGGCGGCATCCCATATAAAGTGGAGGAAGACAGGCACAGATGTTAGCCCAGGGCCAGTCTTCCTCAGCAAAAAGAGGAAGACTGGCATGGATGTTAGCTCAGGGCTGATCTTCCTCACAAAAAAAAAAAAAAGTATTCTCTCCCTTGCAGAAAATAGAAACAATTGATAATGGGAATTAGTCTTGAATCTGATCCTCTTGAGAGAATTCCTCTGAGGGATTGGCCCCACACTGTTGTTAAAAGGATATGCCCATGGTTTCTCCAGCCTGTCCTAGGGAAAGCCTGCCACCACCAAGCCTTGTCGAGCCTCGAAGTTTCTAAAGTGCAGCCTGAAGTTAACCAGAATGCAAACACAATTCTTGATGCACTAAGGGTCCTACTCACTCCTCAGCCACAGCCTCTTTGTTTTGGTTGGATCATTTTGGAGATAAAAATTAAAGGCTATGTTTTAATTTGGAGTAGGGGGGAAACAAAGTTAGAAATCTTAGAAAAGACTAGGCCTTGATTAATTCCACTAATTAGAGCACTAATCACAAGTAGCTCCTGGGACTGGGCCTCTGAATCTGAAGCTTCACTCTGATGAATTTGCTCAAAGTGCCACAGTGTCTCAGGTGACTGGGGTGGGGGGCAGGTTCTTCCACAAGCAGACCCAGCAGGGATTCTGTTGGGAGTGGGGGCAGCTGTGTTGTCTGCATCCACTCATCCCCTTGCTTCTGACTTCTGGTCCTGGGGCCTTGGCTTGCTGTGGTCCTCTGGACCCAGAGTTGTCCTGCTCGGAATTCTGATATTATAGGCTCTGTGACCTGTTGCGCACTTAAGACCAAACTGCCTCGACCCGGGAAAAAGTGCTTCGTTGAGCTTTTAATTTTACTGTTTTCTTTTAGTTCAAAGAAAAACTATCGTAAGTTACGCTGGGAGAATGCGTCCTGAGCTGCTGAGGGATGAGTGTGACTCACATCCTGTTTGCAGATGCCCACGTGTTTTCTCCTGGACATGGGCCTTCAGCTCAGTTTGCCTCCCCTTCCAGCCCTTCTGAGGACCCCATTTCCACTTTACCAGGGCAGCAAGCAACAAAGGGTGACTCAGTGGTGACCAAATGAAGCCCTTTTTGTTCTTAACTGGATCTCATCAGTGGTGCTATTTTGTGCACTGTCTGGATGGCATTGCTTGTGAGGGCGGAGCTAAGACAACACTCCCAGTGCCTGTCCAGCTGTCCTGATATGGCCGGTGTTATTCTCCCAGGGTCCTGTTTAGAGTCATTAAGCCCTCACACTGTGATTTGACAGTGTATATGGCATTTCCACACGACCTCATTTGAACCTAACAGCAAAGCTGTGAAGTAGGCAGGGTGGTCATTATCACCATTTTATAGTCAGGAAGCAGGTGCAGAGAGACAGCATTAAGGTGTAATCCTGAGATTGCTGTTTCCTTCCCTTCCCTGAGCCTTGTTTTCTCATCCTTAAAATTAAGACTGGAGAACCAGATGGTCTCTAAGGATTTTTTCCGTTCAGTGTGTAATTCCATCTATGATCCTGGAATAGGGCATTAAAGCCAGTGGTCGATACCCAAGACCGTAACGAAGCGCGCCCATGGGGATGGGAAAGTGGGAAACTGTGCCAGTTGTGACGAATGCCTGTCCTTCCGGACAGGTTTCCTGCAGGAGGCTCACGGGTGATGGCAGCAAGTAGGAGTCACACATGCGCTGTCCAGATTCTGCAGGTGACCCGTGGCTTAGTTACGGGGCGTGGCCCCACCGTATCCAACATGGCAGCTCCTGTCTGGAGAAACCCCACTCCCACTTCCGGGTTCCGTACCGCTGGCCAGGCTACTTCCGGCAGCGAGGTGGCTGGGTTCCCGGGACTCGAACGGAAGTTCCGGCGGGGGCGGCCGAGGGGGAAGAGTGTGTGTCTGTGCCGGAGAAAGAGGAGACTCGCCGGAGAGGTCTTGAACCCCCCAGGGAGTGGAGGTACCCTGGTCCCGGTCCAGCAGGCGGAGGGAGGGCACTGGGGGGCGATCGGACCACCGCGAGGGTCCTGGCGATGGGGAGGGGGAACCGTGATTGTGAGGGATGGGGGTGGGGAGTAAGGTGCGAAGAGGCGCTGTTCAGTCCTGGGGACTTTGGGGGTAGAAGGGGCAAGAACGGGGAGTGATGAGAGGGAAGTCAGGGTCGGAAGTGGAAGATCCCATTGTGGGGCGGGGGCTCCCAGGATCAAAGGTAGAACGCCCCTTTGTGAGCAGGAGCGGGTCCTGGGTCAGGGTAGAAAATGTCACTGTGGGAAGGGGGCGACCCTTGGTCAGAAGAGAAGTTCCCATTGTGGAGAGTGGCAGACCCTGGATCAGGGTGGAAGTTTTTACTGTGGGGAGGGAGACCCCAGGTCAGGGGGGAAGGCACCACTCTGAGAGGGAGGGGGCACCCTGGGATGAGAGGTGGAAGTCCCCCAGTGGAGAAGGAAGGGAATCCCAGCTCAGGGAGAAAGGTGCATTCCCCTGTGGGAAGAGGGACCCCAGGGTCAGAGGTGAGAGGTCCCACTGTGGAGAGGTGCACTTGGGGTCAGAGGTGGAAGATGGAAGCCTGTTTGGGGGGGTGGGAGGGGTGGGTGCTACTGAGAAGGGTAGGCACTTAGGGGCAGGTAGCAAAGCTTCCGGGGAGTTTGGAGGTTGCTAAGGATGGGGAGGAGCCAGCCAGCCTGACATTCTTTTGTGTGTTTGGGAGTCCCAGAGTGTGGTCAAGCGGGGACCCGTTTGGAGTCAGTGGGCAGCAGCAGCAACAGGTAGCCCCATTCAGGGAGGTGTGGGGCACCAGTTAAGGGGTGGGTCGTGGATGGGAGTCCATGTGTCTTCTGGGGACATGGGCAGCCCCCAGGGGCTCTGGGAATAGCTGAGCCGGGAACCGCTGTGATGGGGGCTGGATGGGAGGGAGGTCGAAGAAAATGTGTGTGTGTTGGGGGGTGGGTAGGAGCTGGAAGCATATTTCACTGGCATTTTTCTCCCCTTCATTTCCCAGTAGGGCTGGGAGTTGGGGAGGAGGGGACCCAGGGGCTCTAGAGAAGGGGGATGATTGGAGAGCAGGGAGGAGGCAGTTACCCGCAGCAGGGGATGCCCTGGCTCCCCTCCCCCACGGCCTCTAAGCCCTGCCTCTGTCCCATCTCCAGCAAGCTCAGGCCGTGTACAGGGCCAAAACCAGGCCACTAGGGTGGCTGCCTCTGCTTTTCAGCCCTGGAATGGAGGCAAACTTCCGACCTGCTCTGGCCCGAGACTTCTTGCCTACCTTTGCCTTGTGCTTGGGACAGAACCTGGAGTGCTATGCGGGGCTGATGGTCTAGGCAGGCCCTGGGTTGAGGCCCTGCCCCTGTGTCAGGAGTCCCTCCCCTGCCTGGTCTTGCTCTTGACCACTCCCCTGACTTCGCACAGGCCCCAGCCGTGGAGCCCTGCAGTGTATGTGTGGTAACACCATGTCTGTGCCCCTGCTCACCGATGCTGCCACTGTGTCTGGAGCTGAGCGGGAAACGGCCGCGGTAAGTGTCCGCTCCTACTCACTGCGGCCCCCAGGCCAGCTGGGGAACTGGCTGGAGGGGGTGTGGGAAATATGGAGGTGGCAGTGACGAGAAGGGAGCAGCCTGAAGCCAGGAGGCAGGAGGGTAATAACCTGTTGGGCCCATTACCTCAGTTCCCCCAGGTCCTTGGGGGTGGGGGATGGGAGGCCAGGAGTTGGAGGACAGAGGGGGAATGATAGCGGGATGATGACTGCCCTCTTCCTCATCTCCCCACCTCTGCTCCTTTTCCAGGTTATTTTTTTACATGGACTTGGAGACACAGGGTGAGTGAGCTGGGGAGGGGCTCAGTGGGCAGGGCTGGAGAGGCCTGCCGCCGTCCCTTTCTCCCTCTCCACATCCGTGCCTTTCTCCCTTCCCTCCTACAGGCACAGCTGGGCTGACGCCCTCTCCACCATCCGGCTCCCTCACGTCAAATACATCTGTCCCCATGCGTGAGTGTCACCCCAGCAAGGAGGGGCTGAAGATGAGGATCAGCTGGGGAGTGGTCCTGTGGTCCCAGGCCTATTCTCCCCTCCCAGCTGCATCTGGGGCCTGGGCCCAGGGCAGTCAGAAGTGCCATTTTCAGCCTTCACTCCTGTGGAGCCCTCAGGAATGAGGTCCAACCCCAACCCCCAGCCCCAGGCCTCCTAGACCTGAGGCCTCCTAGCACCAGGACCTCCTGTGCCCCTTCCCCAAGCACTCACCGACTGAGCTGCAACCCCGTCACACCCGAGTGTTGGGCTCTGCTTCTCCATCGCTACTGCTGATGCCCAACCACAGCCTCCAGCCCCACGTGGCAGGTTGCCTGGCAACACCTTAAACACAGGCCCTGCCTGCTGGGAGGGGCCACAGGGGCTGCCCTGCCCCCTCCCAGGCTCTCTGCTGTGGCTTTCTCATCCCTCCTGAACATGATGGCCCATCTTGCTGTCTCTCCCCAGGCCTCGGATCCCTGTGACACTCAACATGAAGATGGTGATGCCCTCCTGGTGAGTTTGGGGAAGGGGGATGGGAGCCGAGGGAGCTACAGGAGGCTGGCCAGGGTCTTCCAGTAGCTGCCAATGCCTCTGCTCCCCCAGGTTTGATCTGATGGGGCTGAGTCCAGACGCCCCAGAGGACGAGGCTGGCATCAAGAAGGCAGCAGAGAACAGTAAGGCCCCAGCCCCTCCTCAGCATCCTCCCTCTCCCCCTCCGTCCCCCAGGAAAGTGCCGGGCAGTACCTCTGTCTGGCTCCCTTCCTTGGGCCCTTCCAGCAGCTTTGCCCCCACCTAGTCTTGCCCCCTCCCCCCAGTCAAGGCCTTGATTGAGCACGAGATGAAGAACGGGATCCCTGCCAATCGTATTGTCCTGGGAGGCTTTTCACAGGTGAGAGGAGAGAAAGGTGGGTTGGGGGGTGGGCGAGTGAGCTGAGCCCTCATGACTTCTCCTTCTCTCTTCCCTCCAGGGTGGGGCGCTGTCCCTCTACACGGCCCTCACCTGCCCCCACCCCCTGGCTGGCATTGTGGCATTGAGCTGTTGGCTGCCTTTGCACCGGGCCTTCCCCCAGGTGAGTGTCTCCACGACTCTCCTCCAGCCCTTTGAGCCTCCCTATGGCTTGGGGATTGTGCTGAAGCACTGGCCTTGCCCTCTGAGTCCTGTCTGGCCCACAGGCAGCCAACGGCAGTGCCAAGGACCTGGCCATCCTTCAGTGCCATGGGGAGCTGGACCCCATGGTTCCTGTACGGTTTGGGGCCCTGACGGCCGAAAAGCTGCGGTCCGTTGTCACACCCGCCAGGGTCCAGTTCAAGACTTACCCAGGTGTCATGCACAGCTCCTGTCCTCAGGTCAGTGGTGCAGGGCCACTGCCCACTCCCACCCCTCTCCCTCCTCCCTCCAGCCAGGAGCCTCTCACAGTCCCCCCTTACCCCCAGGAGATGGCAGCTGTGAAGGAGTTTCTTGAGAAGCTGCTGCCTCCTGTCTAACCAGAGTTGCTGGCCTCCAGCGCATCCCCCACCTCATGGGGGACCCAGCACGTGCGGCACCATCTTGGATCTGAGCCGGTCGAGCCCGTCCCCACCCTCCCTGACCCGTCTTCTTCCCACAGGCCTCTGGGGCAGGCGGGCCGAGGCCTGGCCAGGCCCTGCTTCCTGGCCTCAGCCACCTGGCTGTCTGCAGCACGGGGTGGGCTGCTTTCTTATCCCATTTCCCTGGAGGTGGGCCCCCCTGGCAGCAGTATTGGAGGGGCTGTAGGCAGCGGAAGAAAGGGGCCTAGCCGCTGACCCACTCACTCAGGACCTCACTCACTAGCCCCGCTTTGGGCCCCCTCCTGTGACCTCAGGGTTTGGCCCATGGGGCCCTCCCAGGCCCCACCTACCACCTCCCACCCCAACTGATTCTGCCCAGATAATCGTGTGTCTCTCCTGCCTCCACTCCAGCTGCTTCTCAATCATGAATGTGTCTGTGGCCCCAGGCCCCCTTGCTGCTGTGGGCTCCCTGCCCCTGGGCAGGAGTGTTGGTGAGGGGGCGGAGTCCTTCGAGGGGGTCTTCCCTCAGCTGTTTCTGACTTGGGGCTGGGCCCTGCCTCCCCATTACCCTCCTCCCCCGCAGGCCTGGAGCCTGCAGGGCTGCACTGAGGCTCAAGGTCTCCCCCAGCTGTCTCACCCCCACGCTGTCCCCAGGGAGTGGTGGGGGAGGAGTTGTGTCTCGTCTTCTGTCTCCATGTGGTTTTGGGTGTTTTTCTTGTTGTGTCCTGGATTCCGATAAAATTAAAGAAATTGCTTCAACTCTTAGGCATGGCTGCTTCTATCCGAGGGGTAGAGAGGGACCACATGCAAGAATCTGTCCCAGTGTAAGAAAACTTTTTATTTTAAATACTTTGGAAAGCTCCTTCATAGCAGTATAAATTAGTGCCTGGGAGGAGGGTGTTTTGTCTCAGGGCCCTGCCTCCCCATCTCACTCTTGGGGGTGCTGATGGGTTCCCAGACCCTGTGAAAGAGAAAAGTTAGAGACCCCGACTCCAGGTCAGTGGAGCCCTTGGCCTCATGCCTGGTGGGCTGAGTGGGCCCAGCTGGGGTTTGAGGTAGGGGAGCCTCTGAGACCCCTGGGTTCCTGCCAGAGGCTGGAGAGCAGGCAGTTGTTTCTGTTCCTTTTCTGGACCATGGTAGGGGAGGGTCTTAGGCCTGCGTGCTAAAGCCTGAAGGATTCTGCTTCTGCCAGCGCCATAGATCTTCACCTGTGATAGGGTGAGGTGTGTGGTCAGGGTCCACATTGGAGTGCAGGGCCCCCCAACCTCAGGCAGCCCAGGGTGGGCATGCCCAGACCGAGTCAGTTCCTTCTTAGCCCCTAACTCTCTCCCAGGAGTCCGGCCGGCACTCACACATCCTGTCCAGCCCTAAGGCTGCTGTCCAGCCCAACTCCTTGAGGGCCAGGCTGGGGTTGGCATAACAGGCAGCCACATCACCTTCCCGCCGTGCCACCACCTTGTACGGGATCTGCAAGAGAAGGGGCAGGCATGGCTTACCTGAGCTGGCCCTGGCCTCACCCACCCAGCTGCTGAGCTGGCCCTCAGGAAGTGCAGGTGCAGAGCAGGGGCTCGCTTGCGAGCACCGGGTGCTAACGCAGGCCAAGTAGACGGGGCAGTGCTGGGGTGCCCGTCAGGTAGGCTAGTGGGAGGGGCCCAGGTCTGCTGCTGCTGTGAGTCGGGTGGGGTGGGGTAAACGGTAGGCCTACCTCCTTCCCGGAAGCCTTCTCCATGGCCTGGACCATCTGCAGCACCGAATAGCCCGTGCCGGTGCCCAGGTTGTAGATCTGCCCAGGAGAGTGAACAGAAATTGGGGGGGGGCTGGACTAACCACCCCTCTGGGCCCCATTTGCCCGGGACTCCATCTCCTTCTCCTCCCTTGCTTCTCCCTTCTCTCCCTACCCGGCAGCCACACTGCTCCTTCAGCTTCCTCAAGGCTGCGATGTGGCCCTTGGCCAGATCCACGACGTGGATATAATCCCGGACACCTGCAGAGGAGGAAGTGGTTGGGGAGGAAGGTTCAGTCTAGTCTGTCCCACCTCAGTCTCTCTCCCACTCTTGAATCCTCCTGGTCCTGGGCTCACCTGTGCCATCCTCTGTGTCATAGTCGTCACCAAAGACATTCAGTATCTCCCGTCGCCCGATCGCCACCTGGAGTGGAGATCAGGTCAGCTCTTCCTAGGCCCTTGGCACCAGCTGTACCCCCTCAACCCTAGGGCCACCCCCCACTTCTCCCTTACCTGGGAGACATAGGGCATGAGGTTGTTGGGGATGCCCTGGGGATCCTCGCCTATGCGGCCTGAGGCGTGGGCGCCTATGGGGTTGAAATATCGCAGCAGCACTGCATTCCAGGCCTGTGGGACACAGGTCACATCGGGGGTAGGGGCCCAGGCTGTGTGAGCCGGCTGAATCCTGAGCCCTTTCCCCCCAAGCCCCACCTGTTCTCTGTCCCTAGAAAGGAGCAGAGGATTGGGCCCTCCCCCCAGTGCTGTGACCTTGGGCAAGTCACCACCGCTTCCTGAGCCTTAGCTTCCTCCTTGCTGGGAGTTGCTCAGGATCCCATTCTCAGGCTCATGGGGAAGCCATGAGGAGTCCATGAGCGGAGCCAGGGCTGGGTCAAGGGGGGGCCCTCACCTTGTCTGCCTGGCACAGGTCCCGGATCATTTCCTCAATGAAGAACTTGGACTTGCCGTAGGGGTTGGTACAGCCACCTGTGGGGTGGGCCTCGTCCAGGGGCAGGTACTGGGGGTTCCCGTACACGGTGGCTGAGCTGCTGAACACCAGGTTCTTCACCCCGTGGGCCCTCATGATCTGGCCGTGGAAGGGAGGCGTCAGGGGCCTCTGCCTCACACGTTATTCCCACCCCCTTACTCCTTCACAGGTGGGTGAGGCTGAGGTATGGGCACTCCTATGTACAGATGGGGAGACTGAGGCTGAGAGGTAAAGAAAACATGTGTCCAAGATGATACAGCTTGGGCCTTGTCTGACTGTATCCTCGGGCCCTTAACCACTGTGTTTGGCACTGCCCGCCTGGCTAGAGGTCCTCCCACTGTCTGTGTCCTTGCCCGTCTCACCTCCAGAAGCTGGATGCTTCCTGTCAGGTTAACTCTGTAATAATCCAGAGGCTTCTGCACTGACTCGCCCACAGCTTTGAGCCCCGCAAAGTGGATGACCGCCATAAAGCTGTGCTGCAGGGGCAGAGCCGGGGTCAAAGGTTGCTTTACAGGCCCTGACCCTCGGCAGTGCCCCCTGCCTGCCTGTCAATCACCCACCTTCTTGAAGAGACACTGTAGGGCTGCCTGGTCCAAGATGTCCATCTCCTCAAACTCCACAGAGCGGCCTGTCAGCTCCTGAACCCGCCGTAGGCTTTCAGCCATGGAGCCCTCTCCTGGCCATCAGAATCAGAGGCGATGGGGTCCCGGGTTCCCAAGAGACTAGCCAGACACACACACACACCCCTCGAAGGTGGAGGTGGAAGCGAGGGTTTTCCTTCCATCCTCTCCAGAAGCCCCAGCCCCCTGCCCCATGCTCACCACGGATGGCATTGTGGAAGTTGTCGATGACCACAGGCGAATAGCCCGCCTCCAGCAGCTCCAGCACTGTGTGGCTGCCGATGTAGCCAGCCCCACCTGTTACCAGCACCTTCTCTGCCATTGCACCTGGCCCAGGACACAGAGTCTCAGAGGTGGCTGAGGCTCCCCACTCCGGGCCTCCTCCTAGCTGGAGTCTGGCCTCTGGAGGGAGGCAGTAGTGTGTCCTAGTTAATAGGGTGACTCTGGAGTCAGCCCTGGTCCAAGTCTGGATCCACCACTTTCTGGCCTTAGGCCTTGGAGAGCACTTATCCTCTCCTGGCCTCAGTTTCCATCTCTATAAGATGGAGCTTATAATTGTACAAATATGTGGTGGTGTGAGGGTTCAATGAGGTGATGTTTTTCTTTTTCTTTTTTGCCAAGGAAGATTTGCCCTGAACTAACTTCTGTGACAATCTTCCTCTATTTTGTATGTGGGTCGCCACCACAGCATGGCCACTGACCAGCATGTAGGTCTGCGCCTGGGAACTGAACCTGGGCCGCCGAAGCAGAGCCCGCCAAACTTAACCACTAGGCCACGGGGCCGGCCCCTAAATGAGGTGATTTTACAGGCCTGCTGCATGGTACAGGCGGGGAACCTGACTCACAGGTGCTGTGTTTTCTAGTCCCAATTGACCTAAGGTTGAGAATATGGAACCTGAGGCTCCACACTGCTTTCCCCAAGGTGTCTGGGGACTGGACAATCCTGGGCAGAAGGAAACGTGGCAGCACTGGGACTCCCAAGAGCCCAGGAAGGGGTTCTGTCTGCTCAGACTCAGGCCTTCTCAGTTCCTCTGCCACCACTAGGTGTAAACTGGCTCTCAGGTTGGTGACTAATACCTCCTGCTCTAGGCAGCCCCCCTGACTCCCTCTTCCTCAAGGGGAGCTGGGACGAAGCTGGAAATATACCAGATGACCTCAGGGTGGGGTGCTTTGCCAGGCAGGCTGAGCCCAGCTCTGGGGCACAGCACTGCAGTCCTGAAGAGGGCCCCACCCCACCCCAGGGCAGCCAGGCTGGCTCAGGCTCTGCCCATGCCAGGGCCAGACGGGTCACTACGGGCTTGGAGCTAGGCAACACTGAGCCAGGGGGTGTAGACGTGGCTTTGGCCCCAACTCCACTGCCAGGTGTGCACCTCCGCCCTGAACAAACTCTGAGGGCAGAGTGAGGAGGAAGTCCTAGACACTGAGGCCTTTCATTCGGCCTGGCCTGCAGCCTCCTTCCTCCAGGCTGCCTCAATCCCCTTCTGGGCTCACTTTACTCCCAGCCGCTTGACTGAGTGCCTGCTGCATGCCAGGCTCTGTACCAGTCACTTTTGCATTATTTTCTTGAAGTCCCCCAACACCCTGATGAGAAAGGTGTTATTACTGGCACTTTACAGAGAATGATACTAAGGTCAGAGAGGTGAAGTAATTTGCCTGAGGTCACCCAGCTAGTGACAGCCGGGCTAGAATCTGGATCTCCGGGCTCACAGCCCTGCCCCTCTCCCCAAGCAGTTCGCCCTTCCCCCGCACTGCTTCCTTCTGGACTCTGCTCCCGACGCCGAGGCCGCCCCCGCCCCCACCCCGCCGAGCTCCACGCACTGTGCGGACCCCCGGGAAGTGGTCACGGAGGGGCCCTGGGAGGCAAGAAGGCTGGTGAGGCCAGCCTCGGCCCGGACGGGCGGGGCGACCTCGGTCAGCTGTCGCCTCCTCAGTTTCCCCGGTCTGTATAACGGAGGGGAGAAGGCCTGGGCCGTGAGCGCTCGAGTGCGCTGGGCCTCGGGCTGGGATTGGGGCCGCGGCTCGGGGGGTCTGAGCTACGAGTCCCCAGGCCGGGAATGAATGAACCGGGCCGCCCCAGCCAAGGCAGCAGGATCTGAGAGCTGGGAGCAGCGGCGGGCCCGCCCAGGCGGGACTCTGCCCAGAACGCAGCCCGGACCCCTGAAACTCTCCCTCCCTCCCGGCGGACCCCCCGGCCCCTCGCGAGCCCGCCCGGCCCCTCATTCGCCTCCCGAACCTGCTCGGGACCGCACGCCCCGCGCTGCCTCCAGCGGCGCCGCCTCCCGCGTCCCCCGTCCGGGTCCCTTTAAGAGCCGACGGCCACCTTGGTCCCGCCCCCTCAACGCCCCCAAGGAAACGTGTCACTTGGGAGACGGCACTACGGGGCGCCGAGAGGACAAAAGGCACTGCGACTTCGAGGCGCCTGCGCATTGCACTCCCGCAGCGGGCAGGAGCGGGCGGCGGCGTGGACCGGGGCCCGGGAGCCGAGCGCCGGAGGTCCGCTGCCTGTGCGGTACCCGGGTCCCCGCGCCAGGCGCGAGCGCGCCGGGAGATGGGCTCGTCGAGGGCGCCCGGCAGCTGTCGCGGCGGGAGCCAGAGGCCGAGGGGGAGCCGACGACCCCGGCCCCACGCTCACCCACAGGCTCTCCAACCCTTTTGTCCCCTTTCTTCAGAGGCGCCCTTGGAGGAAATGTATGGCTGCCTGGAACAGAGGCAGTAGGGCCGGCGCCCGCCCACAGGCTGCTGGTCCTGGGAAGGCTAGACCGAACCCCCGCAGCGCTGAGGTAGGAATTACAGTGCTGATTACACTCAGCCTTCACAAACCGTGTGCTGCTGGGAACGGTCTGTCTGCACCCTACCTACCACAGCAGGTTAGAAAATGCTTTTATGTTTCTGTTTAGAATAAAGGTAGGGCTGGGGAATGATGTGTATAAAGGCATGACATACTGAGTGATGCAACCTGAGCAAAGCAGCAAACGCAGGAGGGTTTCCCACAGCCTGGGGTGCCCTGGCCGGCCGAGTCCAGCAAGGACGACTGACCAACGGCAGAGCCCTGGTACCCACAGGTAAGGGCGCCCAGACCCAGAGGAGCACGTGGCGGCTGCTGCCTTGTGCAGCAGCCCTGCTCAGAGTCAGCAGTCTCAGAAACTGCTTCTCCAGGGTGTTCCGGCCAGCCCTGAGTAAGCCCAGAGCTGCTGAGGTCCAGTCACTATGAATTTGGGGCTCAGGTGGGGCAACGGAGAAAATCCAGAGATTAATAAACTGAAGTCCACATTTTTCTCTGAGTGCAGTGTTGTAAAGATGTTTAATCCCCCCCCCCCCGCCCCCCGTATATACACACATCTGCACAACAGCATACTGGAATGGTTCTGGGTCATTAAACCTTAATTACATAAACTGTTTTCAAAAATCACCATAGAGTGGAGATTTTCCAGAAGTGCTGGAGTTGGCAGGTGGCCAGCACAGCAGCTCAGCCCTCACCCCTTCAGCAAATGCCCTCTGCCAGCCTGGGGAGAAACTCCTGCCCTTTGCCCTGTGACATCAGAGAGCAATGGCCCCAAGGCTACGGCAGGGCCCAGCTGTGTAGAGGAGCCGCTGGCAGATTTCATCAGAGATGAGACTTGAGGATCAACCCAAGCCGGGGAATTGGGTTCCCAAGTGCCCTCAGGCATTCAACGCCTGACTGCTGAGTCCGTGGTGAAAGGAGACCTCTAGCCCCCAAAGCCTCTCCCTCATGCTCAGGTCAGGCAGGGAGGGCCTGAAGCCAAGCAGCTCCTGTCTGTCGGCTCCTTTCTGCCAGGACAGACCTATGTGCAGGGCTGGTGGTGAGGTGCCTCCTCCTGTGAATTTCATTTCCATTTCCATGTACTCATTGGTGCATCATCCATGCCCCTAGTCCCACACAGTCCCCAGGGCTTCGGGTGGGCAGGGGACTCACAGTTTACAGGTAGCCTGAGCCACTTTAGAGCTGGTTTTTCTGTTCAGGGCTTGACAGATAAAGGTCCCAGCTTCCAGGAGCTTCTGGAGGTTCACACCCTTTGAGAAACAAGTTAGAGGATGCAGTAAGTCATGACATGCCCTCAACGCCCAGGGAAACATCAGTCTGGACAGACAACTGTGATACTGAAAGAGTAAAGGTGAAGACAAACAGGCTCTTGTGCCTCTGATGGGGGACACCAGCTGCCTGTGAGGTGTGTCCTGGCATCTGGGGTTGCCCCTCTGACTCCCCTGTATAAAATGCCTCAATCTGTGTCATGGCTGTAGTGCCGCCCCCTGGGTAGGGGTCTCATCAGTCTTGTTCAGTACTCCATCGCCAGGGCCTAGCACAGGGCCTGGCCCATAGTGGTCAAAAACTACCCAGTGACATAAGGACTGTGAAGCAGAGAGAGGCGGGAGTAAAAACGCCAACTAAAAGGGCCACAGCAAAACCTCTGTTCATGACAATAGCTCCTATGGACTGATGTGTGCTGTGGGCTCAGCTCTGGGCCAAGAATTCTACTGCCTACCTAATCCTCGTAACAGCCCTACAAGATAAGTGCTATTATTACTCCTATTTCTTAGGCCCAGAGAGGTGAAGCAATCTGTCAGGTCACACAGCCTGTGAGTGGCAGGACTAGGTTTTAAACTCAGTTCCATCTGATCCCAAAGCACAGACGGTATACTGCCTCCAACCCACACTGAGGGGCCTTACTCTGACAGAGCCCTGGGGGTCTGTCTAATTCTACTGCCCTCATTTCACAGAGGACGAAACAAAGGTTCAAAGGGAACGGACTCATTTCAGGTGGGCCTCACCCCTTTCAGGGCTCTTTCCTACATCTTGGTGCCTCCTCGAACTGAACTGTCAAACTCACACTGAGAGCCTGGCCTCGAGGCCTCGATCAACCACACTGTGCCATCTCAAAACCCTAAGCTAAAACATCCCTAATCCCCTGGCACCCTTCCCTCTTAACCGCGCCCCCCCCCCGGCCCCGCCCCCCAATCCTTCAACAAACCCCATCTGCTTCAGGCTGAGCTGTGGTCAGTTCAGGGCTGCCGCCACCAGGGGGCAGGCGGGCTTACCGTGTGAATGCCCAAGCCTGCCAGCATGTAGACGAGGTCCTCCGTAGCCAAGTTTCCCGATGCCCCCTGTGCATAGGGACAGCCTCCAAGTCCTGCCACAGAAGAGTCCACGACACTCACTCCCATCTAGAAACATAAGGATGGTGAGACATGGCTGTCACTGTGGGGACCAGAGCCTACAAAGGCGGTCCTTGTGAACCTCCCAATTGTCTGCTGCTTGAAATTCCACTGACAGTTATTCATTCCTTTGGCTAAGAATTCTGTTAAAGTGAAAATCCCACTGAAAGAAAGAGAGAGTGTTTCTCTTTTTAGTTCCTGAACAGTGTGAGTCTTTTTTGCATATACTGTTTCCTCTGCCAGGAATATCTTCCCTCAGTTCCTTTCGTGGTTGACTCCTTCTCAACCTTAAGGTCTCAGCCTAAAAGCCACCACCTCAGAGAAGCCCTTCCTGATCACCACTGACCTAAAGTAACCCCCTCCCCCATTGAGATTTCAGGCCCCTGCTGTTCACTGTGATTCATGTAAGCTCTCCTGCCCCCACCCAAGGCTGCTCTCACTGCAAGTTGGACCTCTAACCCCTCGAGGCCTATTCCATGGGCTGACTGCATTTCCCTAGGTCAGCAGCTTCCTACTCTCCTAGGTGACTGTGTCACTTTCTCCTCTCTCCTTAATCCTCTAACAGACCTTAACATTGACAACTACAACTCGGAGAAAACAGACCCAGAAGGTAATAGAATCATCTGGCTTAAAGATATGAGCCTCTAGAAGATAACTTGAGAGTAAAAAAAAAGGTGGCCCAAGATTGCTCTAGGTAACCTAGAGACAACAGGTTAGACTTGGACTAATGCTACAGCAAGGTAGCCTGTGGTCAGATATTCAGAACTTTCTTTCTAAGGGCCGCCAGTCCATGGAATCCTCATTCTGGGCCAGCCCATAAGAAGCAAACCTCAAGGGAAACCCAATCTGAGGTCTTAGTCCAATCTTTGGGCAACAACATTGAAGGCTCTCCCTCTGAGTGACCTCTGCCTACCTCCCTACTTCCTGTCTCCTTGCCTGCTCCCCTCACACAGGTGCGTGCACACACTCACAACCCTGGATGCGATCACAGGGCCAGCGCCTGAGTCCTCCGAACCCCACCTTAGTCCTGCCACGCAGTGCTGCCTACTCACCTTTCCACCTCCCTCTTTCAACTGCTTAACTTCTTCACGTCCTTCAAGTCTCGCTCAGGCCTCTTCTGGCAAATCCTCTCTGACCACCCCAGCTGGGATGGGGGCCTGCCTCAGCCCCGTGCTTCCTCTCTTTGTGGTATCTGCCATAATGTATGAGGATTATCACCTAACTCCCCTGACTGTCTCCCCTAACAGACAGATGTGGGCCTTTTCAGGGCAAGGTCTCATGTCTGTGTCCACTACGGCCATTCCAGGGCCTGGCACACAGGCATCAGCATTCAGCATGGTGAGTGCAGGCTGAAAGAGGGAACATAGCTGTCCTGCCACCATGCCCTTTGGAAGAATGGACATGTGCCTTTCTCCTAAGATATGCCCTGATTACCTGCAGGGCCATCAAGGTGTTGGCCAGGGCCTGGCCATAGGTGTCATGGCAGTGGACAGCCAGGGCAGCCACTGGCACCTCGTACATGACAGCAGACAGCATATCCTTCATGCCCCCAGGGGTGCCCACGCCGATGGTGTCCCCCAGGGAGATCTCGTAGCAGCCCATTGAGTACATCTTCTTGGCAACCTGGGGAAACAAGTAGGCATATGGAGGACACCAGATTCCCTAAGCCAGGGGTCCTTCACCTATGCAGAACACCTCCCCGTCTGAAGCACTAAAATCCCATCGCATGATAGGTTTCTTACAACTTGCTGAGTGGGAACAATAATCCTCTTCCTGCTCCACAAGACTGGGATGCAAGGGAGCAGAGCCGCCACTGGTGCAGGCCCTGGGCTCCAACTCCTGGGCTTTCCTCCCACCCGTCTCTGCCTTCAGGCCTTCACTTACCACCTTCACACACTGTGTCAGACCCAAGTATCGGAATCAGTAAAACTTATTCCTTTCACGCAGCTTTATCCTCTGTGAGAAGATCTGTGAAATCATGGGTCTGAAGTGCTAGTTATACAGTTTTAGGAGAAATACCTAACTATTAAAATGTTCAGAAGTCCATCTGCAAACCTCTAAAATCACTGCAAAACCAGAGCAGTATCTGCCCCACCCAAGGAGAAGCTGCCCCACACTGTTCTGCTGGAGAAGGTGGAGGGAGGATGTGGCAGGGCCAGGGACGTACATGATACTCAACAGTCTGCTGGATAAAGGATACGGTGAGCCCCCTCCCCCCACTGCCCAGGCAGGCAGAGGGATAAGGAGCTGTGGCAGACTGTGGGCGGCAGAGTGTGCAGAGGAAGGAGCAGGCTTTGGAGTGATGTGATGCTGGATTGAAATCCCAGTTCTGCTGCTCACTAGCTGTGGGACCTTGGAAAGGGACTTAACTTTTCTGAGCTTCAATTTCTGCTTCTGAAAAACAGCGATGAGCCTCTGCAGGGTGAGGCCTGGCGGCATCAGGAGGCTGAGACCTGGAGCACAGCAGCCCCTCTCAATAAGCAATTGCTACCGTCAGCATTCCTCATTTTTGGATGCTACATGGTGTTGTGGAAAGAGCAAGTGGGCTTTGGAGGTAAACAAGATGGGAGCTGAGCCCTGGTTTCACCACATGCAACCTGCATGGCAAGTTAGTCAGTCTACTTCCTCAGCTGCAAAGTTTGCAGGGTGGTTTTGAGGACTAAATGACATAAGCTCTCGTGTTGCTCAAACTCAATTCCCGCACTGGTTCTTCTCAGAGCAGACTTGGTTACTGCTCAGAGGCTGTCAAGTGGCCTTTCCGACAACTACAAGGAACTGCAGGAACTCTTGGGTCAGGAACCCCTCTGCAGAGAATTATCACCTCAACTATCACCTGTCCACTGACCAGAATGGAAACTGAATCGGAGGCTTTCACTCTGGGGTAGAAGGCAGGGGCTTCAGAGACTCCAGGCTGGGCTAGGAGGTGGGCCTCCAGGAGCCAGTGAGGGCCTTAATGAAGGAGCTGGGGGAACAAATGAAATGAGTGACCCGCCAGGAAAGGGTGGCAAGGAGAGGCTGTGCACTCGGAGCAGGCAAGGTAGCCAACCCTCAGAAAACCCCGCCCTGACACACACACACCTCAGCTACTTTGGCCGGGGAGATCTTCCCTTCATAGGGGCATCCAAGCACACAGGAGACATACCTGTGGGAAGACAGGCAAGGAGTGGTGTCAGAGCCCGCGAGCTCTCTGGCCAGCAGGCTGAGGCAGGGTCGCTGTCTGACACACGTCCCTGGTTTGCCCACAATCAGAGCCTGAAGCTGGGCAGGAGGCCAAGCGCCTGGGTGAAAGGCTATTTCAATGATGTGGAGCCAGAATGACGGTAGTGCCGCTTAGTGCCAGGAGGGGGCAGTGGAGAGCCAAGGCAGGGCAGGGAGGGGACTACAAGGCCTGTAGTTCAGGAAGCAGAGGCTGCCTAGGTCTCAGGAGAGGCAGCCAGAGACCAGTCGAGGAGGAGGCAAAGCTAGAGAGGGCAATGTGAGCAGGCACTGAGCCGCACAGAGGTGAGGTAAAGCAGAACATGGGCCAGGGGAGCTGGGGCCCATACTCACAGGAGGGGACCGAGGACTCATGAAACCAAAGGCAGGAACAGAAGAGCTGGGCTGACCTGAGACCAAGGGATCAGCTGCTCCGGTGAGCAGAGGATTCATGCACTCATTTATTCAACTGGCGTTTACTGAGTTGCCCACTATGTGCCAGGCACTGGGGTAGTGCAGTGAGGAAGACTAAGTCCCTACCTCATGGAGCTTATTGCAAGTTAGGGAGAGAGCTGATAAAAAGGCAGCCAAATAAGTGAAGGGGATAATCTCAGACAGTGATGTGCTATGAAGGGAAGAACAGGCAAGTGTGCCATTAGAGGAGGCCACCAGCAGCTAGGGTGGTCCGGGAAGGTCTCTGTGAAGACATGATGCTGAAGCTGAGAGCGGGGGGAGAGCCAGGGGAAGGGCACTGCAGGCAGAGAGAAGCGCCAGTGTAGCAGCTCTGAGATGGAAGAGTGGGCATGTTCAGACACAGAACAAGGAGAGCAGAGCTGCAGCATGGAGAGCGAGGGGCAGAGAAATACAACGTGAGGTGGAGAGGTGGGCACGGGCCCAATCATGGGGTCTTGCAAGCTATGGTAAGGAGTCTGGTTCTTGCATGTAGACAGCTTCTATTTCCACCCAGCCCACTGGAGATGAGGTACCATTAAAACCTTTTAGAGTCTAGCAAACTATTCTGCATATTAAGAGGCATAATAAATGTCTGCTGGATAAATAATTTCAGACTCAAAGACGTGTATATTTTTTCATTTCAATTCTCCCCCTTATTCTCCAGCCATTACTGAGCAAGAAAAAGATAAGAGACACTGAAGAAAGAGCACAGGCTTGGGGGTCAGACAGACGTGAGGAGCCCCTACTTCCCCACCCATCCATATGCCCGTTAGTCCCTGAGCACCTACTGTGTGCTAGTCCCTGAGCTGGGAGAAGGAGCATGTCAGGGACTGAGAAATGTGGGCTCTGCACAGCAGCCCAGAGGAAGGGCACCAACTCCAGCTGAGGGACAGAGAAAGCTTCTTGGAGAAACTGGCACCCATGAGGGGACCAGAAGATGAGCAGGAGTTAGCCCTGACAAGTAGGTTGTAGGAGGAAGAGAGTTCTGAGTCCATAGAAAGCAGGTGCAAAGTTCCAGAGGCAAGAGAGAGTGGGAGCATGTGACAAATGGAAAGAAGTTCCAGTTGGGCTGGAACGCAGCGTGCAGAGGAAGCAGGGCCAGAGGGGAACAGTGAGCAATGAGGCTACAGAGAGTGGCAGGGTCTTGTACAACATGCTGAACAGTCTGGAGCTGGGAGTCACTGAAAGGTCTTCAACCAGGGAGTGATGTGATCAGACGTGCACTTTTCAGAGAGTACTCTGGCTGCAGCCTGGACTGCTGTGACCTTACAGCTGACTCTTCATTCTTCCTGAGCCTCGGTGTTGTCATCTGTAAGTGGGGATAGCCCCCTCCTTGCTGGGCGACTGTAAGGCTACAGTTAGATAACACATGGACAATGCCTGGCACTACTGCTATTAAAGACGTGATGCTGGAAACTTAGAGACCCAGGGGCTTCTTCAGGGGTGTGTGAAGAGTTGGTGGTGGAGCCAGGATTAAACTGACCTCCACAAACCTCGTTTAGTGTCTGTTTTGCCAGATCCTCTGGTGAACTGACCCAAAAGTCAGGTTTGGAGAAAGCACTTGCTAGAATTTCTTCTGACCACATTCACTTGAGACGAGTGTCTAAGTGTGGAGCTCAGGCGGCCTGCACCCGAGATAAGGAGTTTGTGGGGGAGGGCTGCTTGAGTCAGAGCCCGGCCTCACTCCAGAACGGTACTGAGGAAAGGAGGGCAACTGGATGTGCCCACACTCACCCCCGCACAGGGATGCTGGTTGCCCGAGCTGCCTGCAGGATGTCGCTGAACCGCCGCACACTCTCGTCAATGGAGCAGTTGATGTTCTTCTTGGTGAAGAGCTCCGAGGCAGCTCCAAAGATGCTCACTTCCTTGGCTCCAGCAGCAACCTGCCAACAGCCACGTGAACTCTTTTCAGCATTTTCTCTTCAAGGAACACCGACACAGAGTGGCAAAACTCTTGTCTTATAGTGAATTTTATGATAAATGGATGTTACAGGTTGAATCGTGCCCTTCCCAAAATCATATGTTGAAATCCTGACCCCTAGAACCTCAGAAAGGAACCTGATTTGGAAATAGGGTCATTGTAGATTAACTAGCTAAGATGAGGTCACATTGGTCCCTACTCCAATATGACTGGTGCCCTTATAACACGCAGCCATGTGAAGACAGACACAAGGGGAAGGCCAGTGAAGATGCAGGTAGATACTGGAGTGATGCATCCATAAGCAAAGGAATGCCAAGGATTGCCAGTTGTCACCAGAAACTAGGAGAGAAGCATGGAACAGATTCTCCCTCAGAGCCCTGAATAGGAACCAACCCTGCTGACACCTTGATTTTGGACTTCTGGCCTCCAGAACTGTGAGAAAATATATTTCTGTTGTTTTTTTTGTCTTTTTTATAATTTTATTTATTTATTATTTTTTTTCCCCCAAAGCCCCAGTAGATAGTTGTGTCATAACTGCACATCCTTCTAGCTGCTGTATGTGGGATGCGGCCTCAGTATGGCCAGAGAAGCGGTGTGTCGGTGCGCGCCCGGGATCTGAACCCCGGGCCACCAGCATCGGAGCGCGTGCACTTAACCGCTAAGCCACGGGGCCGGCCCCATTTCTGTTGTTTTAAGCCACCTAGTTTTTGGTACTTTGTAAGGGCAGCTGTAGGAAATTAACAGAGTGAATTAGATTTCAATAATAAAGAAAGCTTGGCCTTCCCCCAAGGACCAACACTGCTGCTGCCATCACCACCCTGGAAGTCACTTTTTTTTTTTTCTGCTGAGGAAGAGTCACCCTGAGCTAACATCTGTTGCCAATCTTCCTCTTTTTTTTTTTTTGCTTGAGGAAGATTAGCCCTGAGCTAACACCTGTGCCAATCTTCCTCTATTTTATATGTGGGTCACTGCCACAGCATGGCTGACGAGTGGCGTAGGTCTGCGCCTGGGATCCGAACCCGCAAACCCAGGCCACCAAAGCAGAGCACATGGAACTTTAACCACTTGGCCACGGGGCTGGCCCCTGGAAGTCACTCTTAAAAGAAGCTTTTTGCCTAAATTCAGAATCGACATCTGCAATGATGTTCTCATCTAAAATTATAAGAAAGTTGGCAGATACTAGCAACTACTTTTGAAACTCTCGTGGAAACCTTGATTATCTTTCTTTAAAGAGGAAATGGGTAATAACAACAAGAGCTAGTATTTATGAAGCTATTATCTTCCACCAGGCTCTTGCTAAGCAATTTATGTGCACTCTATCTTCTGAAATCCTCACAACATTAGGTGCTATCATTAGCCCTATTTTATAGGCAGGATCTGAGGCTCAGGGAGGTTAAGCAGCTTGTCAAGAGCAGAGAGCTGGGAGTAGCAGGGCCAGGACTGCCCCTGGGTCTGTCTGCCAGTGCTCATCACCACTGGAGACAAGTCATTCAGAAAGACATCCCGGGACAGGGACTACGGCCCTCAGTCTCACTTCAGGGGCCCCCACCAAGCTAGTCTCTTACCGCTGCCTGGAAGCCTTTGAAATTTGGGGTCAGGACTGGGTAGTTGATGCCAGGAAATTTCTGGATGCCCTTCAAGACTTCAGTGTGGTCAGCCATCTGGGAGCCAAAGGAGACATTGCCAAGTCACTGCCAAGGGCAGGCAGAGAGCTCAAGTAGAGAAAATCTTTTTATCATGAAATCTCTGTTCTCCAGAACCCTTAGCAAATGAGTCCTTTTGCAGAGCTGAGTCTCCCCAATGCTTTAACTATCTGTTGGACTGATGACGGGCCAGAAGGCTCCTTGGTATCAGTGATAGCCTCAACTTCTCCATATGGCCCATACCGTCAGCTTTACACAAGCAGTACCGGCAGTAATACTACTACCAGCCATTTACTGAGAGCATACACCGAGCCAGGCACTGGGCTCAGCTCTCTCTGTGTTATTTAACATTCAGCTGACACAAGATCTTTCTTCCCACTTGACTGACTGTGAATCAGGAGTCATCAGTCTTTCCCTTTTACAAATGCAGAAACCATGTCTCCAGACAGGCCTAAAGACTCTAGACTTCTAGATCCAGAAGAGACCTGAGCAGTCATCTTCAGCCTGGAGAGGGAAGGCCTCTCCAAGGTCACCAAGCAAGTCAGGGGCAGAGCTAAGACTGAATCCAAGCCTTCCACCTCCCAGGTGAGGTTCTTTTGCTGCCACGCTCCTATGAATCACCTGAGACCTCTAAAAGCCAGACATCTGGAAACCTATGTTCAGGACTTCTACTTACTTCCAGGGAAAATGCAAAACTTTACATC